CAATTGCCCGTATAATGTATATAAATTAAAATAAAAATAAAACACGATATACATGACATGATTGATCAAACCTAATCGTCTCTCTCGATCACACACACACACACACTTACTAATTGTAGGAAATTAATATAAATGAAAAATGCATATGCTTAATTTACTAATTGTATACGTGCATATATATATATATATATGTATGTATATGTATGTATGTATGTGAGATCTTTTTTGTTAAAGTGTGTCTGAACCAACGAAGAAAGAAAGCCATGAAATTGCAGTGCCCAGCTTTAGAATATCTTTTTTACCACTTTATATATTATTTGTTGCTTTATTTATTACCCATTCATCAGAATATTCTTCATTTTTATTTATGTCTCTAGCTAGTGTGTGTGTGTGTGCGTTTTTTTCTTTAATAAATTAAACATACTCGTAATTATATTGCACCACGTGGCGGAAACACATTTGATCAGATATTTCGCCCTATATATTATATACACTCATCTCCAGCAAACTTATTTCTTACAACTCCAATCAATATTTATATCCAGAGAGAGAGAGAGAGTCTAGAGAGAGAATATCTAGAGAGAGAGAGAGGTAAATATAAAAGTAATGGAGGAGAGAAAGAAGGCAATATGGGGGGCAGTGGTTGGGATACAGTTGATATATGCAGGGTATTTCTTGCTAACGAAGATTGCTTTCGATGTTGGAATGAATACTTTTGTTTTTGTTTTCTACAGACAATTTGCTGCCACTCTTTTCTTAGCCCCCTTTGCCTTCTCCCTCCAACGGTACCATCTCATATTCATATACTATCTCTCTCTCTAGATATATATATATATATATATTCTCTCTCTCTCTAGACTTTCTCTCACATGCATACATATATATACTAATTAATTAATTAATTTGCAGGAAAAGTGCTCCACCACCATTGACATTCTCAATCTTCATCAAGATTTTCTTGCTCAGTCTTTTTGGGTATATATATGTTCTTCACTTTTAAATTAAGAATCTTCACACACACACACACACACACATATATATATATATATATATACAGGGGCGGACCCAGGGGTGTTTTCTTGGGGGGGCGGAAATATAGGGGGTAAATTAAGAGAGAATTTTTTTTTTTGTTTTTAGGGACTAAAATGTACAAAATTAAAAGTTTGGG